TCACTGAATGAATGTCCGTTTATCTTTGGAAGCAGCCAGCCTGTTGTTAGCCATCAGCGGCTGCCCTCCTCACCTCTATCACTGTCAGTGTCTCTGGCCTGGTTCTTTGGAGGCAGAGTCCCCAGACAGGAGACCTAAAGAGACAGGATGATGTTTGGAGCTTCGATTCTTCAGAGGCTTGATCCTTAGACAAGCAAAGCTGAATTAACATCTGAGAACCTTTCTCTTGAGGGACCAGTTCTCTGCCTCCAGCTGCCCTCTGGGAAGATGGACAATGCTGCTGTTGGCAACATCCGGTCAGGGGTCAGTGTGGAAGAGCAAGCAAGGCCACCGTCCATCATGCTGAGTCCACTGTGGTCATCCTGCAGGTGTTACTGAGGGTCCGATGTGTGCCAAGCATTGTGCCAGGCCTTGAGCAGCATGACTGTAAACCCGTGGTGCTTCCTACTTTTGGGAACTCAGCTGCTTGAAAAAGACAAGATACCCACAGGGAAAGCTGATTTATCTAAGACCCAGGGATTAGTGTCTGCCACAATTACTTGCACAGCAAGGCATCCATATCTGTTTTGATGAATAATTAAATGAATGAAGTGCCAAATGGCTACTAGGAAGGAATGTCTAAGAGGAAAAATGCTGAGATCTGGGAAATTCAAGGGAGAATTTTGTAGATGACTCAGGTAGCCTGGAAGGACCTGCAGTTTTTGACCAGATAGAGAAGAATGGGAGGTCCTGGCAAGAGAGTGGCCCCGAGGCTGGAAGGACCAGAGCAGAACAGAAATGGAACTCTGTGTGTGTGTGTGTGTGTGTGTGTGTGTGTGTGTGTGTGTAGATATAGATATCCATATAGTGTGTGTATTTATATATTTAGTTTTTTGCTGCATTTACTCTTCCCAACCTTGTTTGCTACTACTGCCCCCCACTCTGATTTTCTCTTTGATATTGTGATCTTTTTTTTAAACAAGCTAGAGAAGTTCTGCATTTTAAAGCCTATCTTGCCTGCCAAGTTGTGCTCCCAAGTCCTCTAAGCTCCACATGCAGCCAGAATAACTTTAGGATGAAGCTCATTAATAATGTGCATGGTAAATCACATCCTCTACAGGAGGCCTGCAGAGGGGGGCTCTGCCCCTGTCATCAAGCTTTCAGAGATGGCAGCTCACAAATAGGACACCCTGTCCCCAACAGCCTGAAGGTACAGGAGCTGTCCACCCAGGTGTCCAGTGGGGAAATTTCTTTGGTGAAATTTCTCCATCTAAGGTGGGGGCTCAAGTGCAAAAGCCTGGTCTCTTTAGATGTAGTTGCTTCCTGGCCCAGCATCTTTGTTGCATCTTTGTGGATATTCTCAGTTGGGGGAAGGGGATTTCCAACGGCATACCACTTAGTATGAATACGCCCATTAGTTATAATTAAACAGGCCACTGCAATGATTACAAATAAATTTAGCACCAAAAGAATTGTACAGTTATTCAGAGCCATAATAGCGATCTTCTGATGACAAACCAACTGGCTTTCCAACAGGCTGTAGAGGAGCTCAGGGGAGGGGTTCGTCTCCCTGGGAGATGACCTCAGGGGAGGGGTTCCTCTCCCTGGTGGGTGACCTCACAGTCTCAAAGGGCAATGCTTCCCTGTACAGGTGCAGGCTTGAATTTATTTCAGGTAACATCCTCAAACCCTAGGATGCCGGCTGCATCTTCTTACTTTTCCTAACATTTGTGAACCATTTTTTCCTGCTTCATGCTAAATGCACTTGCGTCATCCATCTCCGGCTTTCTCCTAGGAGTGAAAGATGCGCATCATTTAAAGCAGGCTCTCCCTGTGATCCTGTAGCAGCAGATTCCTGCGGGATCCAGAGGAGCCAGAGTCCATGCCAGCACCCTACTCCTAAGCCAGAACCTTCTGGTGGTCTCCCTGAGACAGCCATTGTCAGGTGAAACCAAACCCCACCTTGTGAGCTTGTGGTTAATAGCTCATGGATATCAGCCTGGCTATTTTATGCTTCAGAATGCTGTGTTATTGTGCCTTTGATTTCCTCTAGACCCCACGTAGACAGTGCTTTATTAGCCTTCTTGAAATTGGGACACAACATTTGAGGGGAAGGAAGGAGTGTCAACACCAAAGCAAAAAACAAATTGAGAGAGGAGTGATGAATGACAAGCAGGTTTTTGAGCAGAATGCAGTGAATCAAAAGGAAAGAGTATTATCTGTAACAACAAGAGTCATCACAGAATGAGTGTGACCTCTTCTATGCCAGTTAATGTGCTTATCCTTTATGTGAGGCCAACATGGCGTGATGGCCAAGAGCACAGACTTCAGTGCTTGATTGCCTGGGTTTGAATCTTGGCTTTCTGCTGATGACTTGAGTGTCCTTAGTCCAATAACTTCTCCAAGCCTTAGTGTTCCCATCTATAAAATGGGACTAATAGTATTATGTATCTCGTAGGATTGTTGTGACAATTAAGTGAGATAATTTATGTAAAGTATACAGAACAGGATCTGTATCTTGTGAAGGTTAATTCTTTCTAACATCTCTTTGATCATTATTACCCTCACAATTTTACTATAATCATGTACCCATGTGTTAATATTTAAATACTTTTTGTAATATTTTAAAAATTATGAATAGAAGAGATATATTAAAAAGCACAAAAAGCATAAATGAAGAAATCAAGAAATTATCATGAAACAAACACCCAAGTCAAGAAACAGGGCCAGGACCTTGGAAATACTTTCGAGGTCCTCTTCCTGCTTCTCCAGAGGTAACTCTTCAAACTACTCTTTATGTTGTTCTGTGTTTGCTCATTGTACATATGGGATCATATAGTCTGTTTACTTTTGTGTGTGTCTGTGCTATGGTTTGAATGTTTGTATCCCTTCCAAAATTCATGTTGGAACTTAATGCCCATTGTGGCAGTAATAAGAGGTGGGGCCTGTAGGGGGTGATTAGTGCCCTTTATAAGGCACTAATCAAGGGGCCTAGCTACGCATTTGGCCCTTCTGCCTTCCTCCATGTGAGGAGACAACGTTCGTCCCTTCTGCCATGTGAAGACATAGCAAGGAGGTAAATCTTAGGAGCAGGGAGCAGCCCTCACCAGATGCCAAATCTGTTGATACCTTGGTCTTGGACTTCCCTGCCTCCAGAACTGTAAGAAATAAATTTCTCTTCTGATAAATTACCCAGTGTCTGGTATTCTGTTTTAGCAGCTTTGGTGGACTAACACAGTCTGGCTCGTATAATCCAGTAATATAGTTGAGAAATCTACCTCTGTTGTTGCATATAGCTGTGGTTCATTTATTTTCATTGCTGTGTGGTATTCCATTGTGTGTATCAGCACATTGTTTGTTTATTCTACTGTTTATGGACATTTTATTTGTTTCTAGTTTTGGCTATTAGAAATAATAGTAGTATTAGCATTGTCTCCATATTTATTAAGGCACATTTATGCTGAGCATGTACTTAGGAGTATATTGGCTGGATTATAACGTGGGTATGTTTGGGTTTAGCAGATAGTGCCAAATAGGTTTTCCAATTATTGTACCAATTTACAGTTCTATTCTATGCAAGTTTTAGGCAAGTATGCAAGCTTCCATTGCCCTCCATCCTTACCAAGACTTAGTTTTATCTTTGTTTTCATGTAGCCATCCAGGGGATGTGATACCTTACTGTGTTTTTAATTTGCATTTCCCGATTACTAATGAGATTAGTTATATTTTCACAGTGACCATTTGGATACCTTCTTTTGTGAGTGTCCAAGACTTTTTTCTGTTTTTCTTTTTAAAAAAATATTTTTGTTGATTTGCAGAAATTCTTATATATTCTGGATATAAGCCTTTTCTTGGTAACGTGTGTTGCAATGAACTTTCTCACTCTATGTAAACTGAATCTAAACTTTAGATTTATCTTAAGTAGTAATATCTGTGAAGTTATGTTTGATGTTTGGTTAATTTTTTTCTAAAATATCTATCGATTTTAAATAACAGTTTGCCCTGTGCCAACTAAAATTTTCCTGTACCACCGGTAGTGTGTTTTCTCACCCTTTGGGAAACGCTTCATTATCTTATGTAATCTTCGCAGATAACCTATTAGGTAGGTATATTATTCCTTTTTTCCACATTTAGCATTGGAGGCACTGAGAGGTTTGATAACTTACCCAAGGACTCACAGCTGAGATGAGGACACAGGGGTAACTGCCTGCCAAGCTCAGCCTATTCCATCACATGACTGGTCAACAGGCTGTTTTATCATTTGCTTTATACCCTAGATCCTTGAGAAACTCTCTGCATCCCCACAGAGCCTTGTATGTCATGAAACACTCAGTGTTTGCAGGGTGGATGGATTGTTGGATAAGTGAGTTGGTGAATAGATGAGTGGATAGATGAATGTATGGATTGGTGGATAGATGGAAGGGTGGATTGGTGAGTGGAAAGATGAATGGAGGGAGATATGGGTGGATGGATTGATGGATGGATGGATGGAGGGAGGGAGGGAGGAAGGGAAGGAGGTGGTCGGAATGAATAAAACAGGAAGGTAAGTGTTTTCACAAAGGCTCTTTGCCTGGGGAGGAGCTTGCCCTCAGGTCACGCCCTGCACCATGACCTCACAGCAAGCTTGCCATGACTCTTCTCTTTTCAGTGGCCTTACTGGAGAGAAAGATGAGAAGGGATCTGGGTGAGGAAATGACAATTCCAGTTTGCCATTGCTGGGGAGAGAGGTACCCTCTCATCTTCCTCAGTGTAACAGCTGTTTTAGGACCTCTTGCTTGCGGAGGAAATGAAAAGTAGTGGTCGGCACACTCCAGTGAGTTGTTAAAGCAGCTCTGTCTAAATGTCCAGAGCAGTGCTGAGATGCAGGCTTGCCTTTGAAATGGCTTTCAGACCCCTGGATGAAGACCCCTTCTCTGCTGCTTCTCTGAGCAGAGAATGAGCAGACTGGAGGGTTAATCCCCACATTCTCCAGACTCACTATGTTTGACCTCACCTCATCCATGCTTTTCTTTGCCTGATAGAACTTGCCCTGTTTCACTCGAACACTGGATAGCTCTGTCTCAAGGGCCAACCTGAGTGTTTCTGCGGAAAGGATGGTAAGTGGAGCTCTGTCCGAAGAGCAACAGTGAGAATCTGCCTAGGGAGACCCCTTTTGGGATTGGGGTGGGGTGGGGTGATTGTGAAAGTCACTGTTCCTGGCTATAAATGTGTTCTTGAACTATTTGTTGAACCTTTGTTCATACTAAGTAAGTGACCACGGGCACCTGTTCTCATGCTGAGTGCTGGTGATGTGCTATTCTGGAGTATTTCTGAGCACTTGTCTACGAAAGTGCTTGTTGTATTTAATAAATGGCATTGATTTATTGCTTTTATTGATCTGTTGAAGCACTCTGTATTATCAGAGGTGATAGTCTTCTTAGGAAAACATGGAAGGTCTCTTCATTAGCATCCATTTTTCTATGAGGCTTTGGAGGGTGAAATGCCAGGATGCACAGCGTTCGTTCCAATGATATACTGAACACCATCAGGGTGAACAATGGCTTTGGTATAAATCAGGTGGAAGGAAGAATTGAGACCATTTGCCATAGGCTCACTGGAGTTTTTGTGATGAAATGAGCAAGCTTCTTTTCTTTCTTTCCGTGATGACAAACTCCTCTCTTAGTTTTCCACAGGGAGAAGCTGTAGGCTGAAGTGGCTCTTTAGGGAGACGCATACCTCCACAGGCAGAGCAGTCTAGATTGTTTTAGCATATTCCACTTAAGAACTGCAGTGTGACAGCAGGTAAATCACTTGCCACTTTTGTGCCCATGCCTCTAGACTGTCAGTTTGTGCCTGACCCTCACCTGTGACATGCTCTGTTTCTCTCTCTGCTTCCTTCCCCAGACCCAATTGGGTCTGGAACTAGCTCTGGGATTTGCTGCATGTTGCTGACCCTGAATTTTGAAGAGAAGCCCTGATGAGACAAAGAGGGATGCTGATAACCTAGAGGAGAGACATTGATGATGGACACCTCTGCCTCCTTCCACTTTATTTGGCTGGCTGCCTCCCGATGTCCTGGCTTAGGTTTTTCCTTTTTCTCCTGGAGAAGACGAGTGGAGTCTGGCTCCTGCTTTTACCTCCTTACAGAGGATCCTGCAGGCTTAGGAGCCCCATTTCTGGGAGCTTTCAATTTTGACAGCTGTAAATCCTGCCTTCCATGTGTTTCATTGCCAGTCTCATCCATTGAATAACAAGCTCCTTGCAGGCAGAAGGGGTCTTCATCCAGGCGTCTGAAAGCCATTCCAAAGGCAAGCCTGCATCTCAGCCTTGCTCTGGACATTTAGACAGAGCTGCTTTGACAACTCACTGGAGTATGCTGACCACTACTTTTCACTTCCTCTACAAGCAAGAGGTCCTAAAACAGCTGTTACACTGAGGAAGATGAGAGGGTACCTCTCTCCCCAGCAATGGCAAACTGGAAGGCAGGATTTACTGTTGCATTTGTTGAGTGCTTGAAGCTCCTTGGATTCATTCTGCATCTGGTGAGAAGGAATTTTCTCTCCTTGTGCATCTGCAGATTATGCTCTCATTCCAGGAGACCTCACACTAGCACTTTTGGGGTCCACAGATGGTTCTGAGTTTGAATCTAGTCTCATGCTGTGTGACCTTGGGCAGATTACTTAGTTTCTCTGAACTTTGGGGCATCCCTTAATTGCTTGATAGGGATAATAATGCCAGATTCAAAAGACTATTGCAAAGGCTAAATGAGCCAATATTTGCCAAGCTCTTAGCAGCATGTGACACACAATGCCTGTTCAAACACTGGCAGCTATCATTATTAGTGAAGTTTTTCTAAACATGCACTTGAAATCGTGGCTAACAGAGTCTCATATTCTCTGTTGGTCCTGGAGGTAAAATTTGAATGAGACTGACATACCTCTGCCTGCAAGGAGCTTGTTATTCAATGGATGAGACTGTCAATGAAACAATTAAAATATAGCACAAGAAGTTCTATGGAAGGGTGGTACTAGTGGGGGGCATCACAGATCACAAAGGGAACATGTAGGAGGCATATCTAATCCAGTCTAAGATCTGCCACCGTCCCTCCCCAGGCTGGACTGAGGCTCTGAAAGCCCACCGGGAGCAGGGAGGGATAAGGAGCAAAGGCAGTGCTGGGAGCCTCCTGTTTGTAGAGAAGCAACCATTCCTGCAATTCCCTCCACATCCTCAGCAAGGACAAGCCAGCTGCTCCCATGATGTCACTATGCCCTTTAAAAATTGTGTACAGGCTGGGCACGGTGACTTACGCCTGTAATCCCAGCACTTTGGGAGGCCGAGTCAGAAGGATTATTTGAGCCCAGGGGGTTGAGACCGCAGTGAGCTGTGACTGCGCCACTGCACTCCAACCTGAGCAACAAAGTGAGACCTTGTCTCAAAAAACAAAATGTAAGACACAAAAAACAAAGTTGTGCGTGGTTCAACCTGATTTATCTTGGCAAGTATGTGTAGTATAGGTTGAGCATACCTAATCCAAAAATCTGAAATCTGACATATTCCAAAATTTGAAATTTTCTGAGTGCCAACATGACATCACAAGTGGAGAATTCCACATGTAAGTACTTCACACAAACTTTCATGCACAGTTATTAAAAACATTGTATAAAATTGCCTTCAGGCTCTGTGTCCAAGGCGTATATGAAACATAAATGAATTTTGAGTGTTAAGTTGATCTGATACTCCAGGTATTTCACTAGGTGTATGCACATATTTCAAAATCTGAAAAAATTTGAAATCCAAAACACTTCTGGTCCCAAGCATTTTGGATGAGGGATTCTCAACCTGGACTTGCCCAATGTCTTTCTTTCCTGCTATAGAGTGCACCCCCCTACAGGCATGATCCCGGGCTGTCTGCTATTTCCACAGCATTTAGCACAGGGCATGTAACACTCTTTCATGCTCAACAATATTAATAATTAATTGAGAATACAGCTAACATTGAGATTTGCCATACTCTGTCATTCAGAAATGCCCCTAGTCTTTGTGGATCTCCCTCCTCTTCTACTCCTTCCTGCAAGCTGGTGACTGGCTCCCAGTGGGCTGGCTCTAGGCCCTCCTGCCTGTCAGGGGTTGGAGTTTGAGCTGGGAGTTGTACTCATCCTGGTAAAGCAGCCAGTGCCCCCCTCTTGAAGCTGGTTTTGGCCCTTTGCTCTGGCGCAGGCCCCTTGCTCCTCAGGGCTCCCTGTCTGATAATCAATGCTGTCCTCATCTTCAGAGGAAATGCTGCCCAGTGGTATCACACACTGAATCGATTAAAAGCAGAACTTCGAACTCATTTGCTTGGACAGGTCTCCATGGAGTGACTCACTCAGTCCTCCCTTAATGTTGTCCCCATGTCTGCCAGAAACACCATCTGCAGTTCTGAGGCGACTCCCGTTGCAGGGCCAGAGAATAACTTGCATTTTTACGATTAGCTTGAATAGGAGCTATTTAATGTATTTATCTACAATGAAGTCACCTTCTTTAACAGACTTCTCTTCAACTTTTATTTATATCTCAATTCAATCAGAACAACCTCCAAGTTTTCATGACTTTCCCTTTTTCTGTTTTGATTCTGTTCATTTGTTTTTTAATCTAACATTTACCATCATTATGCTTTCTTTGCAGAGAAAATCCTCTCCAGTCAGGTGATTGCATCCATTTCGTCTTCCCAGCCCTCCTCTAGATGGGAGGTGGAGGTGTGTGTACCAATCTCTTAATTCAGAAATGAGACAACAGGAGGAAAAAGGAGAAGTTCAGGAGGTGTGTGATCCAAGTCTGGCTACAGGCCATGGACATTCCAGGAGGGAGACTCCATCAGAGAAGTGGAGCTGGAGTTGGGTGTTAGAGGGTGAAGGGAGGGTTTGAACAGGCGAGGGAGCGGGGAGGAGTGCCATCCGGTGGGAGAGGGAGAGGCAGCTTGAAAAAGCACAGAACTGCGAGTGAGCATGCGTACCCAAGGAGAGGGAGTCAGGCACTGCTGGGGTGCAGGTGGGGCAGAGCGACTAGGTGTGTGGCCAGGGTGTGGAAGGAATGTGCTAAGTGTGATGGTTAATTTATGTGTCATCCTGGCTAGGCTATGGTGCTCAGTTGTTTGGTCAAACATCAGCCTAGATGTTGCTTCAAAGGTATTTGTTAAATGTGTAATTTAAATCATAGACTTTGAATAAAGCCAATCACCCTACATAATGTCAGTGGGTCTCATCCAATCAGTTGAAGGCTTAAAGAACAAAGACAAAGGTTTTTCAAAGAGAAAGAGAAGACGCTCCTCAAGACTGTGACATAGAAACTCTGCCTGAATTTCTAGCCTGCTGCCCTGCAGAATTTAGAATCAAGCCTGCAACATAACTCTTACCTGAATTATCAGCCTGCTGACTTACCCTGCAGATTTTGGACTTGCCAGCCCCTCACAATCCCATGAGCCAATTCCTTAAAATAAATCTCTCTTTTTCTCTCTGTATATATTCATATCCTATTGATTCTGTTTCTCTGGAGAGCCCTGACTACTACACAGAGTGAAGGGAGGGCTTTGCTAAGTGATCACGGTCCCAAGGGCAGCCTCTGAGAGCCCGCTCCTTTTGCAGGGTATTTGAAGACCAGACCTTGAGTCAAATTCTGCAGCCAAATTCAATGCCCATAAGACTTTCTGCTCAGAAGATCTCATGCAAAAGGAATCCCCAGGGCTCTTTAAATTAGATTTTCCGTTTGTGTAGACACGTGATAAATGTGTTGGCCAGAGCCTGGCTCACACCACTTTTTCTACTTTTTGGGTGGAGTCAGTTTTAATTGATAAGAAGTGCCTCTACTGGTGGACGTTTTTTTGGGGGTAGCTGTGATGGATATTAAAACCAATGCTCTGCATTCTGTTGGGCAGCAGAAAGATTGCTTTTTCGATAAGCAAGCCTTGGGTTTTTCTGAGCCAGTAGTATGAGAAATGCCTCTCCTGAAGGCCACTATGCAAGCGAGTCCCCACAGAAGCATGCCGGAGCTGTCAGGTACAGGAAGAAATATCTTTAGTAAGAGCAGGTCATGGAATGAGACTTCCCCACCACAGCATAGATGGGCAGAGGGGTTTCCACAAGGACAATTCTTAAGAATCTCTGTAAAAATGCATGACTCCATCTGTCTCCTCTCTCTTCTTTGGCTTCAGATGAGATGAACCATTTAAAAATTCCCCAACAAGGGACCCCAGGCACCAGAAGAAGTGATGAACAGATTTTCAATTTGGCCCTGATTTGCATATATTTTTTTTTTCTGGCAGTTGAAATCATTCAGACTAGAGGCCGGGATGGGTAGTAGTGGGTTTTCCCCATCTGAAGCAGATTCTTGATTGGTCTGGACAGACTGCTGGTACTCCTGGGTGCAAGGCTCTGACCTCAGCTTCTCCAGAGAAGGAAGAGATGGCAAAGGGGAAGGCCTGGGGCTCAGGGAAGGACTTTGCAACCCCAATGGGGAGTCAGATCCTCAGGCCTCCTCCCAGGGCAGCTGCCTGGTAACTTTCTCAGTGTCCTTCAGGGAGCATCTCCTCTTCCATGTGGCTGGTTTCTTCTGATAGGAGGCTGCCTTGTAATTTCTCACTGACAGGACAGTGGGGACCCCAGACAGAGCCTGGGAACTTGGCTGCCCCGGTACCAGAACCTGGCCCTTCAGAGGAGCTGCAGAATTTCGACAGAGGAGGGGATTGAGGGAGGTATACTGGCTGAAGAGGAGACCCAAGGGTGTGTCTCGAGGCTCCACGTGTGATCATTTGGGCTATCTTTGATGGTGGTGGTGAAGGGCAATAGTGATGGGAAGGAATATCTAATTATAATGATACTAATAGCTAGCATTTGTTGAGCGCTTCTTTTGTCCCAGGTGCTGGCCTAAGCGTTTGCTCATATTTGGTCATCTAATTACCCCAGGAGGCCTGTGAGGTGGTGCTCAATTATTCCCATTCTCAGATGAGGAGAGAGATTAAGAAACTTGCCTAGTTATCTAGCCAGTAGGTGGTGGTACAGCCAGGTTTGAACCTAAGTGGTCTGGCTTAGAGCCTGTGTTCCTAACCTCTGCACATACTTTCTCCCTAAGCTGTCTCTTGGCCTTGACACCATGCCTAGTGTGTGGGCCAGGCCCCGTAGGCAGCCCTTTAGACAGCAGTATGGGCTTCCTGGAGGTAGATGTAGTCTGTGTCAAGAACCTTCCAATTGAAAAAGAGTTTCCCAAAGCCTGCTGCATGTCCTTGTTCAAACCTCTCACCCCACCCTGCTGAAATTCCCTCTAGCCTCTCTCCTCTTGTGCACTCAAATCCGGCCTCCTGCCCTTTAAGGCCTCAGCTCCCATTCTACCCACTCACGGAGACTTTGGTTAGGGCTACCCCCCAAGCAGTGCTCTCTGGGAAAAAGCTTCAATTTGATCTGGCGGGTTAACTGGATCCCCACAGTAGAAATACCAATATAAACCTCAAGTCTAGATGGAAAAAAAAATCAAGTTGCATAGGTAGGCTCTCTCTGTCCCATGGAAAGACATGGATGGACAGATACATTCGTAGTGCCCTTCTTGACTCTTCCCTTGAACCTTTGCAAGAGGTAGCCCACCCCTGGGGTCTGGGCCTTGTTTGAATTCTTTCTACAGGGCACAGAAAGAAGGGAACAGCAACTCTGGTCTAGGCAAAAAGGAAAACCAATGAGTACAGAGGTGTGTATGGAAGATGCGAGGGACTAGGGCAGGAAACCACCACCACCAGGGAACACCCACTGCGTTGCAGAGCAAGACATCCACCTGGCACTGTGGAATGAGAGGTGGGGGGCACGACCCCAAGGCCCCTCAGGCCTCTGGCAGCCAGGCAGCATTGCAGCCCAAGCACTGGGTCTCATCAGCTGGCTGCCTCATCCCTTTAAGGAGTATCCTGTTCTGTGTGTGCCTTGGTACGGGAAATAAAATGACTGAAAGCCTACAATGAATGTGGTATTGACCAAAGAGAATGAAATTATAAAAATTATAAGACCAGCTACTACTAATTAGGGGCTTAGGCGAGGGCCTGTGGGCAGTTGACAGGGGAGGCTTTGGCATCTCAGCAAGTGGGCAGGAGTGGGCTGCTGATGAGTTACTCTTGACAGACTCAGCAGTGGTGCACCTGTCAACTCCAGAATTTTTAGGTAAGTAAACTGAGGGCACAGACAGAAAAAGTTGCTCACCCAGATCTCAGGGAACCTGATACCTAGGCCAAGAATCTTTCAGCTCAGCTTCTCCCGGGGTCTCACATGGAAATAATCTACCTACACTGGGATGTTGCATGGCTGGTGCTCATGATAACATGCATTCATCCAGTCATTCATTCATTTGTTCAAAGATATTTTATTTTTATTTTTTAGAGAGAAAGTCTCACTCTGTCACCCAGTATGGAGTGTGGTGGCACAATCATAGCTCATTATAGCCTTACACTCCTGGGCTCAAGTGATCTTCCCGTCTTTGCCTCCTAAGTAGCTGGCACTACAGGTGCATGCCACCACACCTGATTAATTTTTGTATCTTTTGTTAAGACACACTGTTGCTATGTTTCCCAGGCTGGTCTTGAACTTCTGGCCTCAAGTGATCTCTGACCTTGGCCTCCCAAAGTGCTGGTATTATAGGCAGGAGCCACCATGCCGGGCCATGTTTAAAGATATTTATAGAGTGCCTGCCATGGGTCAAGTACTGGGCCGGACGTGGAATACAGCTGTGAAAAAAACCAGACTAACATTCTTCTCTTCATGCAGCTATTTTTTGAGAAGAAGAGAGAGGCATGAATTAAACACAATAAATAAATAAATAAATAAATAAATAAATAAACAAATAAATAAATAACTATGTCAGAAGGCAGAAAAGACAATGGAGAAAAACAGACTGGACCGTGTAGGGTTCCTGCTGTGGCAGGTCTCTTGTCAGAGACCAGCAGGGATGCTCACAAGGTAGTAAAGGCAGTGGCAGAACAAGTGATCCCACTCTGGCAACGTGAGGGGTGCTGAACAATCTCTCCAGCCTGGAGAAGGGGTAGGAGGTAGAGTTGGAGGACAGAGCTGAAGGCTGTAATTCATAAGATCATGTAAGAGATGGCCAAGAGGTACTGTCCCCCAGGGGCCTAGGGAGAGTCCTGGGCAGAGGAATGAGCTGGCAAGGTCAGGGTGGGCTTCCTAGGGGGCGGCAAGGCATGGCTGGGCATGGAGAAAGTAGCATCATGGGGTATTTAGGGATGGCAAAAGGAGGATGCAAGTAGAACTCGTGGGCTGGCCTGGGAGCAGAATACAGGAGGGCAAGGAGTAAGGGATGAGAGTAGAAGTGCAGTGTCAGAGTGACCATGGGGACTATGGAGAAGAGGCTCGTGGATCTTATCTCTCAGGGGAGATGGGGAGCTCCTGTGATTTATAGCTGGGTGATGTTGTGAAGAGGCCACTTTGTAAAGGTCCTTCTGACTGCTGCAGTAGGGTTGTACTGGAGTAAGAAGGAGCCTGAAATCCTTATGCCTGGAAGGTTGTGACTAAGGGGTGGAGAGAGTGGATGGATGTCAGAGAGGGAGGAAGAATCACAGAACTTAATACTGAGCTTTACTCCCCAGTCTGAAGGTGTTTCTCTGGGTTTCAGCAGAGCCATGGTCTCCTGTTTCACTGTCTTGCACATATGGCAACTTTCCAGGATGGGGACAGGAGGTCTGATTGCTTAGGGACACTCTACAGATGTCAAATGTCATGCTACCACTGCTGGATGCCACTGTCTCTCCTCCCACAATCTTCCTTCCCTAAGTCTGGCCTGGACTTGGCCAGCCAAAATCACACAGACTCTGGGAGACGGTTGGCATGAGATGTTGGGGTCAGCCCAGGGCTAAAGGAGATGCACATGATCTGTTCCTGAAAGACCTAGTAGGGAAGGAGCTTTGAAGGTATTAGGTGTCCTGAGTCTGGTTACACTATGGTGAAGAAGCCCCAGGGCGCGTCTTGGTGCTTGAAATCAGCAGAGACAGCTTTGGAAGGTTGGTCACCGGGGACCTCTTTGAGGGTCTGCAATAAGGGTTCTTCAGCTTGTTGCAGCCTGGCAGAGGCCCTTGGGTTTTCTGGGTGGACAAGACTGAATCAACACAGTACCTAGTATCCCTGAAAAGAGTCATAGATTCCAGCCTGGGCTAGGACTGGGTCTGGGAGAGGAATCATGCTGTGATTCCAGGCCCTACTGAATGCCCCTGCTGGGATCTACAAAGCAACCTCTGGATAGACCTGGGTGGAGCTGTCATGGGGCTCTGGGGACTGCTGGAGCCCTAAGGGTCCAATGTCAGAGCAACGCAGGGGCAGCAACCATGAATAACCTGGGCTCATGAGTAGAGAGAGTAGCCAGGTGGGTAGACCAGATGAACAAATGGAGATCCCAAGATGAGAAAAAGGGCCCCATTTAGTGACAGAACAGAGGCTGGAGTCCTGGCACCACTCCTCCTGGCCCAGTGCCCCTCCCCAACTCCCTAGGGTCTTGAATGGAACTTAACTGAGAGTTCTCAGAGGCCATCGTGAGACAGATGTGTTTGAAAGCCAGCAGTCTGATGTAGAAACTTTGCATTGATTCAGTGAGGTAGCTTTGCTGTGCCAGGGTTGGCTTCCCCACCCTCTCTGTGCAGACTGAGGTGGGTGTGTACTATGTGCTTAATTATAGTGCACATAACCAGAGAGGAACTACTCAGAAGCACATGTCATTTTGTTTGGGGATAATAGACATGAAGGCTGGAAAATATCTATTAGATCAACCCGTCCTGCCTCTGCCAGAGCTGGTATGATGGGTGTCAAATCACTTGGGCTTTCTTCAGCCTGTGACTCAGCGGGAGCTGGGATAGGCCTCCAGGGAGATGGCAGCTCCATGTATTTCTCAAACTCTGTTCTGGTTTTCCTTGTCTGTCTACTCACTTTTTAAATCCATGGCTCTGGTTCTGCTGGCCTTGCCCTCTCGTGTCCTCTCAGTGAGCCTTGACTCCTCCAGCTTCATCTACTGAGCCCCCGCTCTGCAGCAGGGTTGCCCACGCTCAGTTCTAGGGGCTCAGACAATGATATCCATCAATCCACAGTCAAGAGCAATGTGAGACATGCCCATGAATAATTTCAATTCATGACCAAATATGGAAACCGCCATGCAAGAAATACCAATGTAGGTTAGGGAAGGGAGAGGTGGCTCTGTCTCTGCTTGTTGGAAAGGCTTCTTGGAAGAGATGGCAGCTTCCTTATCAGAGCTGAATGAGATTCGTTAAGTGTAGGAAAGGGGTTGAGGCTTTTCTCCGTTTAGTGGGGAGCTACAGCTTCCTTCTCTTCCTCCTACTGCCTGAACTGGGCCTGGTTAATATCCTTTGTCTTTACCTCATCTTTTTGGCTGTGACTGACTCCCTCTAAATCAAACCTTTGCCACCTCATCCTTCTTATCTCCCCTTTCTCTTCCTTCCCTTGTCCTATTTTAGATACAGTGGGGCAACAGGTCAGGTCTGAGACCAGGGAGGGAGTCAAGGACCAGAAACCTAGGGCCAGTGCTGCCACCAGTCTTCAGCTCCTGCATCTGTAAAATGAGCGTTGAGGGCTAATCTTGATGGACTCTTTAAAGCCCGATGTTCTAGGAATTTCCAGAGCAGTGAGCTCCCCAGCTGAGTCAGAGTCCAGAGGTGCGATCTTATGGCTGTTTCTTCCTTGTTGTAATTTCCACCACCACCATCAGTCTGGCATCCTCCAAATCTGCATCCCCAGCACAGATTCCCTTCCTGAGCCGTGGGACCACATATCCCACTGCTCCCTCCATGTCCCTAGGAGGTGCTTTAAAATCAGCATGTCCAAAAAGAAAATCATTACATTGCATATCATTCTGATTCTGTTGCCAGCATGCGTGTGCGTAGCGCACTCACATCCATACACTTCTGATCATGTGACTTTCTGTTTAAAACCACTCCACCAGGATAAAATCCCAAGCCTTGGTGTGGCACAGGCTTTTACTGACCTGATCCCAGACTCATCTCTCTTGTCTTCCCACCTCCCCAGACATCAGACATCACCCAGTTAGGGTCAACCCTAACTGCCTGACCCCAGACTCATCTCTCTTGTCTTCCTACCTCCCCGGACATCATACTCTAGTCAACCCTAACTGCTGAACACACCAGGATGTTTCACACCTCTGTGTGTTAGCATGGGTTCTTTCTCTTGTATGGAGGATCATTTCCCCAGTGTTTTACTGAGGAACTCCTTTTCATTCATCAAAACTCAGCTTATCACCTCTACCATGAAGTCATCCTGGACATCACTTGTCCCAGTTAATCACTCACTCGTCTTTGCCATCCTTGACCTGGTGAATACAGTCTTTATACCATTTATCAATTAGTTATAATATATTTATCAATTAGTTATAATTCTTTATACCATTTATCAATTAGTTATATTTATCAATTAGTTATAATTGAGTAGTTATAGAGGATATTAACCAGGCCCAGGTCAGGCAGTTTACAGGTGTGTGGGCACCCCATCTGCTATAGATCTTTTGGTCCTAGATTTCTATAGCACAACGTCTGTCACTTATTAAGTGCTAAAGTTTCTGATTTTCATAAACTGAACTGAAATGAATCCCAATTACTGACCTGTGGGACTCCCAGCCCTTTGACATCTTGACCCTGCCCAAAATCAGGAGTACATTTCCAGAGGGCTCTGCAGTGGGAAATGGCAGTGGGAGTCTGCATGTATTCAGCTCAAGGCACGCCCTGTGTTAGGTGTTTTCCCTTTTGCAGGCTGGAGTGAGCCCTTGAGCTGACCCAGAAGTTCTGAGCATCTATCACCCAGTATTGATGACCGTGAATTTTGCCTCCTCTCTTTATGCCTAAAGATGAAGGAAGAAATACAAGCTCATGTTACAAAGAGTATTTCCCTGGTTTATCAGCTCTCCCCCTCTCAGCTTGAGCTCAGAATGATTTCTTAGTTCTTAGCTTTTCTTCCTCTGATCAAAGTGCCTGAGGCAGTGAGCACCGGGAGGGCAGGAGCATTTCTGGCTGAGCCCAATGCTCCCCTCTTCTGGGCTGTTTTAGGAAGCTGTGGCCCAGGGTTCTCTGGTCAGGCGAGCATGGCCTGGCTGTGGGAGGGTCTCCAAAGGCTCGTGGGTCCCAGGTGCCCTGGAATTTTGGAGGCAGCTGCCCTGCCTCCACTGGGAGAAGATTAAAGCCCCCTTTGCCTTTCGTAGTCCCTCCCTTTCCCACTCTGTTCACTCAATCGCTCTTTTCTCTCCAATGAATTAAATTCAGAAAATCCATGAGCAGGATTTCTGTCTTCAAAGGACCAAATAACCTTTCTTTCTATTCCCCCTAAATTTTTTTCCAAACTGCAAAAAGAAAACATGCAAACAGACTTCAAGTTAAAGGTGAGAGAAAGAAAGAAAAGTTGAAGCAAAGTAATTTTAACTTGAGAAGTAGAGCAGTTTAAACCCAGAAAAAAAAAGTACACTCAGCAATATAGTCCTTTCCTACAAATTAATTAACCCAAAGTGCTTGTTTAATTAGTGTGAGGGGTAGGGAATTGAGTAGCTAACAATATCTCTCACCCAGTTTAGAATTATGTTCACAAAAGAATTTCTTCTTCTTTTCCTGAAAGGGATGAGAACGTTGCCCTCATTGGTCTGGAATCAGCAGGTACCTCATGACTGGAGGTGTATTTTCAGGTGGGTTGGGCCTTTGAAGAGGTGGCTTTTCCGATGGACCCCTCTGACTCCCTGCCTGTGGGCATGACACAGGTGGCCTGGCTGCCACAGGGGCAGGGCAGAGGCTGCTTAGCCCTGCTCCAGAGAAACAGAGCTCTGAAGACCTCCAGAAACCAGGGGTCCTGGCGCCTCAGTCCTTCCCACTCCTCTCTTCCCACTCCTGTGCTGCATATAAACTTTTTTTTTTTTTTTTAGATGGAGTCTTACTCTATTGCTCAGTCTGGAGAGCAGTGGTGCGATCTCAGCTTACTGCAACCTCCACCTCCTGGGTTCAAGCGATTCTCCTGCCTCAGCTTCCCCAGTAGCTGGGACTACAGGACTACAGGTGCATGCCATTATGCTTGGCTAATTTTTGTATTTTTAGTAGAAATGGGGTCTCACCATGTTGGCCAGGCTGGTTTTGAGCTCCTGACCTCAGGTGATCACCCGCCTTGGCCTCCCAAAATGCTGGGATTACAGGCGTGAGCCACTGCACCCGGCCTGCATATAAACTTTTTGAGTTTCCAGCTTTTGACACGAGCATAGATATTTATCATTTCTAGAGGCATTAGGATAACTCAAGTCCGAGTGTTCAGAGACCTACAGTGCAGCTTAAGACCGTGTCACAGGAATCTTTGGGGCAGGGGCATGCACAGGAGTTATAGAGGGTGGGGAGAGGGATGAGTTCTCAACCAGTGTTTTCCTTTTTTCCATAGACTCCTTTGGCATCTGATGAGGTCTGTGGACTCATGCTCAGAATCACATTTTTAAATGCACATAATAAAATACATAGAGTTGCAAAGGAAGTTAATTATATTGAAATACATTTATCAAAATATAAATAAAACAAGTATGTGGTACAGTCATACATGTGCTTCTTTATTAAGTCATTACAAAGCAAGATCTATTTGGAGGCCTAATAACTGTCATATGCTTGAAAAAAATCTTTAACAATCATAATATATTAAAAAATCTGATTTCTACTTTGGCAAATCATAGATATTGCTAAAACTGTGGTTTATTGCCCGCATTCATAATTGAAGGAAATGCTAGAGTTCAGTGAGAAGGTTGTGAAAATAAAGAGAGCCTTTTTTTCCCATCTAGGTTCATTGGACCTCTGAATTCTTTTCACGGATCTTTTGGTGAGTCTTTGCTGATGAATAAATGGGTTCCTTATGAATGTAATTGAACCTTTGTGTCTTCTACTAAATTCTTCTATAATTTACTTGGAGAATCTTTGCCACTCTTTGTTGGCTTCTTGAAGTCATTGAGGGCTGTGTTGTTAAGGGATTGAAAGAGGATGAAGAGGATAGAAATGGAGTGAGAACCCCCAGTATACCAGGTGCAAGACCAAAAGTACTATGTTGTTGGGCTGTGCTGTGAAGAAAGAAGGCTGAGAGCTTGAGTATGGGGCCAAGGAATGATACATGAGCACTGAATCCCCCGTGCCTCCCAGAAGGGAAATTGTAGCTGCTTAAGATGTAAATTGGCCAAGTCACATGGCGAGAGGGAGGAGCCTTAGGGGACAGGCAGGGTGCAGGTGTGTGGGGAGGGGCATATTGGAAGGTAAAGGAGGTGGTGGAAGGTGGGCTACTGGAACAGAAAATCCACCAGACGTGAACTTGAGCCCTTTTGGGCTGCAGGGACAGGGTAGGGCCTCTTTCAAGCTCACCAGGATGCTACACCATGATTGATGTTGCAAGTATATGGATTGTCAGGTACACCTGGCCAGACACTGTGAGTTCTTGCTCTTTCATATGTTCTCCATGGGTGAGGTGTTGGTGTCGTCATGTATACTTAGAATATTTTCACCCCCTGACCATCTCCTTCCCATACAGCCCCTCCCAGCTTCTCCTAAGCAGCAGATTCAAGCATCATAAACAAACATCTGTAAGCCAGCTGCTCATATGCCCCCTCTTTAGTGCCCTTGATCACTAATAATCTCAGAACAGAAAAATGATTTTTTCTTTCTTAGTTGCTATTCAGAGGGCTGGGGGTGGGTGATTGAACTTCTCTGCTTGAGAAAGAAAAGTTGCTCCAGGTAAGATTTAATTTTACTAAAGAAAATTCTGAAAATGACATTTTCCCCTTAATATTTTTTGTCCTTAAAAACAGAACCCACACAATACAGACAGTTCCCTAAAGTCTTTGTTCTCTAACAAAGACTTAAAGCTGAATGCAGGTAGAGTCATGGAATCCTCACTTTCCCCCTTTTAACACGAAGCTCAGGCTTTTCCAAGACATCAGGACAAATCCTAATGACCAAGCGCCCATCAGAAGCTTTGTGGTGAGAGATTAGATACAATTCCAGGTAAACTAGAGCCCATAGGCCCTGTTCTTCCTAATGAAGTGTGTGTGTGTGTGTGTGTGTGTGTGCAGGTGTGTAAGAGCTGACCTTGTACTTTTTAAACCATAGCCAAAGATGCAGAAGAGTTTATTTTTTCTTTGGGGACTGTATTGCTCTTTTCTCCAGGAAATATTTGTTGGTGTTTTCTGTTCATAGCACTGTGCTAGGCACTGTTGGTCAGGAGGGAAGGCAAATGTCAGAGTAAATCAGATTCAGGTGCTGCCACCAGGAAGCAAAGCGTGATGTGGGAGGTAAGACGAGAGTGTCTGGGTTACTGCAAGAGGAGGGGGCTGAGAAAATTCCCTATGAGAGGTGCCAGAAGAAGGCCACCAAGGTGACCTTGAGAACTGTGGCCCAATTGACAATTTAAAATTACTAGTGATGAAGAGAGTATTGCAGTGCCTCACTGGAAGAAGTGGAAAAGCAGGTCAGGCAGGGTTTTCTTAAATGCTAATTACACAGAGTCTCAAAACATAAGGGACACATGCGGGTTTATTCTTTGTCCTTTGAACCTCATTGATGTCAAAGCACTATGTCAAAGCACTTTCATGCATGTTGTTTTATTAGCACTTTGTGATAAAACTATGACATAGCATGAATTATTATTCCCATCTGAGAGAAAAAGGAGTACAAGGCCAGAGACATGAATGCCTTTGTACTCTGCCTGAGGATCATCATTGCCAAGCGATAACTTGGGCAGGAAGAGGGAAAAGGTATCACACGTAGGTGCCTGGGGATCTTGATATAAGAGTTTAGATCCCGATTTCTCAGGCTGTAAGCTCTTGTCTGCCTTTGTTCTGTAGGAGTGGAGAGAGAGCCTGCTTCAGATGGATTGGAGTGTGTCCATCTCTAGCACAACAGGCTTACTGAATGTCTGAGGAAGAGGTCAAGGTGGAGCTGAAGGCAGTGGGGGAAACCTGTGAAGACCTTCTGCTAAGAAGGAGGATAAATGCAAAATGATCTTTGGTGCCTGTTGGTATCTGGCCCTTCCTCTCTAATTCTAGTCTTTTTAATTCCTACCCAGGTGTTAGGTGATCACGTCTGAAGCAGTGACTTCTGGGGATTATTTATCTTTCACTTTGGATGTCTGATCAGAATAAAGCACCATCTTAAAGCCAAGAAGTGATAATGATGGAAAATGGGCCGTGGCATGATGGAGGCAGCAACCCTTCCACCTGTTTGTAAAACACTGAAAAAATTGCCTCAGATAAGGAAGTGTCCTCCAGTGAGAAAGGAATTATTTCCCACCGACCACATGATAAATGTACAGGTGAATAAAACTTGGGCAATTGAGGGAAAGTTTATCTAGATGAATGGCTGCTCATTCAGGCCCGAGAGACAGAACTAGAAGGAACTCGAATGAGGCCCACGGTCAGCAGCCAAGGGCAGGGTGGGGGCTGTGGGGCCATAGCATTCAGGGGCAAGTTTCCACAGGCGACTTCTTCCTTGGTCAACTCCGGTAACTTTCCCCACTCACAACTTCCACCGCGCTGGTACTTGGTTATCCGTTCTTGACCTGCCTCTTCTCCTTGTTAATTAATTTCCTGCTTCTGATTGGAATTGCCATGGGTGACCGCTTCTGCATCTAGAGGTAATCAGTCCAGGGATGGGTGTACTTTTATTTTCACAATTCTGTTTCCTGTCTTCTCAGCCCACAGAGGCACTTTCGCTTGGATGTACTCAACACTCACACAGGGATGAGAGGGCATCTCAGGCCTTGGAATGCCCCAGGGAGGGGGTCCTGAAAGGACACTTCCTAATTTGTATTTTATTTGACACTAATCTAGCATTTAATGTGCACTAGTCATTGTTCCAATTGTTTTACAAAATTAATTATTTAATCCTCACAACCACTATACTCCCCATTTTAAAAAAGGAGAAATGAAGAAACTAAGACCCAGAGAGGTTGCATAACATGGCCAAAGTCACACAGCTATCAAGTAGCTGAGGTAAGATTCAGATCCAGTTAGTCTGGCTCTAGAACAACACTGCACAATACAAATAAGATGGAAGGTACCAATGACAAGTTCAGTACATAATTTAAAATTCTGTAGTAGCTACATTAAACACATTTTAAAAATAAACAGGGAAATTAACTGTAATAACTTTTTTCTCTACCAATCTAAAATGTTATCATTATGACATGTAATCAATATTGAAAAGTATTAATGTGATATATTCTTTCCTACTAACTCTTCAAAATTAGTGTGTATTTCACACTTAACAGCACATGTCAGTTCAGACTAGTTTCATTTCTAGTGCTTAGTAGCCACCATGCTGAGCAATGCTTCTTTAAGTCTTGCTCTTCATCAGTGGGCTATGCTGCGCCTTGGCTAATCTGCCCATGGAGCTCAGAAGGACCTCGAAGGTAGGGCTTTAGAACAACTGCTGGGTAGCAGAGGTGTTCCCATGATGCGCAGACACAGGGAGAAACATGGTGGGAGACATACCAGTGACCCTACCACCCCCGTACATCAAGGAGAAACCCAAAGATTCCCATCCCCTTGAGAAATTGGAGAAGGCTTTTCCTAGAGTTTGTGGGTATTTGGAGAGCTGAGAAAGTGTCTTCTTGAAGACTGCCCAACGCTGTGTGTGCAGCAGATGCCTGGAGCCCAAGGAAGAGCCTTGCTCACTAAGAGCGACCACAATGAAGAAGCCACACCCATAAGGCCAACATTGTGGCAAGAAGAGAAGGAAAATGGAAAGTGTTTCCAATTTTCTCTAGCAGCTCCTGCATCATAACTACCCCTGTATTCTGTCTGTTAGTCTGTTGTTATTTATTTATTTGGTTGTATTCCATTTTATTCTTTGAATGGATGAGATGTAGTTTACAAAGATAGTTGGATGATGGCAAGATGACATAAAAGATTCCAAAACATGAGGCAGAGGAGAAGTAAGAATAGGAAAGATGAATGGAATCAGGTATGAAGTGGGTTCAAAAAGTGCATGCCTTAGGGTCTTGCATAATTGCTAGAGATGGGCTGTATTGATTGGAATCTAAGCTTCCCAACAGCCTAGGTCAAGAGGGAAGCACAGTGGTTACAGGAATCACAGTGTAATTAACCAAAAACAAGCAGGAGCTAGAAGCGGGGTGGGGGACATTACTGTAACATTCAGAGGCCTGAGAGAAGCCAATCTTCTTGAAAAGAGACATCATCCGGTCTCAATGCTATCCTCAGCAGGGCTCTGGTGTAAAATCCTCCCTACCCACGCACCCAGAGTTTCCTTTCCTGCCTCTGTTTAGACTGAGGGCTTATCTCTAGCTATTCTATAGCTATTGTGCAGCATACAATGCTTCCCACATACTCAGCACTCAGATAAACTGGCTTAATCTGGGGTCAGTTTAAATGATTTAGATCAATGCATTTTTGTGCGGAACTACTCTGAGTTCACCAAAGCCTGTCTCCCTCCCTCCTCAACACTTACCATGAGTGCTTTTCCCAGCCTTCATTGCAACTGGGTGCGGCCTCGAGACTGAATGTGGGCAGAAGTGGTTGGAAAGTAAATGTGTTTGGTCTAAAACCCCTTTCCCTATCTGCTGTCTGGAAGAAAAAGAATATCAGGACCCACAGGAGGGTAGAGTCACAGGAAAGAAGAAACCTGGGCTCCTGAAGGCCTAGAGGAAAGACATGGAACCGGAAAACCTTAATTGGACTGTGATGTACATGAGAAACTAACTTCTATTGTGTTAAGCAACTGGGAATTCAGTATTTATCTGTTAGAACTGCTAGCATTACCTTAGCGAATACAATTCCCTGCTGGGAAATACTCCCTAAACACAATTCTTCTCAATCAAGAGGAATTGAAAGGTTTGAGTGGCACTAAGTTCAAGGTTACATTCCCTGACAACTAGCAGGAGTGCAAATATTCTCTGTTGCAGGGAAGTAGGGAGGTGTAGAGCCTTATGTTTTAACAGTCACCCAAGGTGGGAGTAAGATTAACATACTCTTGTCAAAATTGTGTCACCTTACAAGAACTCCTGCCTGAGTAGAAAGCTCTTATATCTCCTTTTGGAGATAAGCCAGGATGTACCTGTAGGTAAGGCCAAGATTCTCTTCAGAAAGTCATTTTGGATCTACCTGAACACATGGGACAATGATAACCAAGGCCACACAGCTTTGTACGGTGAAATATGCTCTAATAATTTTTGCCTGAAAGAAAATGTAAAACAGCTATAACCCTATGACTGTTGTGCCCTTAAGAACAAAACAAACCTTGCACAGTTTACCTGTCCAAGTCCCCTTCTTTTTTATTTTAAAACTACTTTATTGGCGGGGCATGGTGGCTCACACCTGTAATCCCAGCACTTTGGGAGGCTGAGGAGGGCAGCTCACGAGGTCAGGAGATCGAGACCATCCTGGCCAACATGGCGAAACCCTGTCTCCACTACAAATACAAAAAGTTAGCCAGGTGTGGTGGCAGGCGCCTGTAGTCCCAGCTACTTGGGAGGTTGAGGCAGGAGAATGGCATGAACCCGGGAGGTGGAGCTTGAAGTAAGCCTAGATCGCCCCACTGCATTCCAGCCTGGGCGAAACAGCGAGACTCCGTCCATCTCAAACAACGACAACAACAACAGCAACAACAACAACAAAACTACTTTATTGAGGCATGGTTGACATGTAAGGAACTATATGTATATTTAATGTATACAACTTAATGAATTTGGGAATAATAAGTGTCCATCCATAAAACCATCACCCTCCTCAAGGCCGCAGACATATCCATCACCTCCCAAGGCTTCCATGCCGCTTTTGTTTCTATTATTATTATTTGTGATAAGAACACTTAACATAAGATCTACCCTCTTAGCAAATTTTAAGAATACAATACAGTGTCGTGAGCTATAAGCTGTATATGGTATAGCAGATCTCCAGAAACTGTACCCCTTGACCATCCTATCCCCATTTCCCATTTCCTCTCCCCCAACCCCCTGGCAACTACCCTTCTACTACTTATATATGTTTGACTAATTTAGATTCCATATATAAGTGAGATCATGCAGTATTTGTCTTTCTATGCATGGCTTATTTCACTTCACATGATGTACTACAGGTCCCTCCATGTTATTACACATGGCAGGATTTTCTTCCTTTTTAAGGCTGAATAATATTTTATTGCATACATATACTACATTTTATGTATCCATTTATCCATCAATGGACACTCAGGTTGTGTCCATTTCTTGACTATTGTGAATAATGCTGCAATGAACATGGGAGTGTAGTTATGTCTTTGAGATTCTAATGCTGATTTAAATTCCTTTGAATAAATATCAAGAAAAAAGCTGAGGCCTCATATTTCCAGATTTCAAATTACATTACAAAGCTATAGTAATCAAAACTGTATAGTGATGGTATAAATATAGACATACAGACCAATGGGACAAAATAAAGAACCAAGAAATAAATCTATGCATGTAAGGTTAACTGATTTTCAACAAGAGCACCAAGAATACAAACTGGGGAAAGAATAGTTTCTTCAATAAATGGTGTTGGGAGAACCAGATCTCTACATGCAAAAGAGTGAAATTGGATCCTTATACCATACACAAAAATGAACTCAAAATGGACTCAAGACTTAAATGTAACACCTGAAAACACAAAACCTCTAGAAGAAAACACAGGAGAAAAGCTCTGTGACAGTCGTCTTGGAAATACATTTTTGGATATAACACCATGAACACAGGCAACGAAAGCCAAAATAAATAAGCAGAATTGTGTCAAACTAAGAAGCTTCTGTACAGCAAAGGAAACAATTGGCAAAATGAAAAAAAACTACAGAATGGCAGAAAATATTTGCAAACTATACATCTGATAAGGGGTTAATATTCAAAATGTATAAGGAACACAGACAACTCAGTAGCAAAAAACCAAACAAAATAAGTCATTAAAAAATGGACAAAGAACCTCAACAGACATTTCTCCAAAAAAGACATGCATCAGTGATCAGGGAAATAGAAATAAAAACCACAACGGATATCTCCTCATGCCTATGAGAATGGCCATTATTTAAAAAACAAAAACAAAAACAAAAAACAGGAAGATAAACATTGGCAAGGATGTATAGAAGAGAGAACTTGGTACACCGTCGATGGGAATGCAAGTTGGTATGGCTATTATGGAAAACAGTACAGAGGTTCCTCAACATTAAAAATAGAATCACCATATGATCCGGTAATACCATTTCTGGATATTTATTCAAGTCCAATTCTCATCCTGGGCTTTAGTTTCTAAGCATAATGAATGTTAAATGCATGTGATGGGCCAGAATTGCAATTCTACAATCTATGTGTATGATGCCAAACAAACTCTCTAAAATACTTGTATGTCATGTCTATAGTAAACACAATTCTGTTCCCATTGCTCTTGCAAGGTTATAAGCACAAGAGAAACAGGTAAAATCACAGAACAGGCATTTCCAGGTGCCACGCCCACTGTACAAAGTGAGATGGCTGTAATCGTTACAGCTGAGGTCCTGGTGGGGAGCCTGTGGAGAAATGCTTCTCCCAGAATAACACTGTGGGCACACAGTTGTGCTTAATGACCATTGATGGGTTGTGATGGGCCCTTCTGTCATCATCACAATAAGCGTTAAGGGAGGCTTCAGGTTTGTGAGCCTTGCTAGTGTGCAGGGCTACTTTTCTTCTGATGAGCGCTTGTCACTGAGTCATCTGCAGAGCTTGGTGATTTGCCCAGGAATGAGCTCATACGTTCTGCAGATTCCAGCGAACAGACAAGAGCAACAGCGTTGAAAGAACCAAGCGAAGGTACCAGCTAGAGTCTCTGATGCTGGGCCAGCCCTCCTGCGGTGTGACCTGGGCAGTGGATGTCCCCTCACAATGGACACAGCCATCTTTAATTTCAAACTTCACCCTGACTGCACAGGACCTGAACTTTTGTCCTTAGAGAAGGTAAAGCCAAACTCTGGCTAAAGATTGAGAAATTCCCAATAAATAATCCCAGATCTGATTTTTTTTTTCCCCCTCATTTGAACTTTCAAGCATGGTCATAAATCATTCTGGATTTTTCTTCCACAGTCTGCCCTCTTCTGGGAAGGTTTTATGATGGGGCAGGATTGTGAGTGGATGCTTCCTTACCATAGAGATTAGATGACTGGGATAACTGGGATGCTGGGTTCATGGGGTCTATATTCCAAAGTACCTTTTACCTAAGCTCAGGGCTGTGACCTGGGGTGGGGGGACTTTCCTGTTTCATGCCTTGCTGGTTATCCATTCTCCTCAGGTGCAGGACCCTGAAGAAGGCATCCATGTCCAATTATGAGCATGTACTATTATCTCATTAGTAAGCACACAAATCACCCGGGCATCTTGTGAACCAGCAGTTCCTTCCTGAATCAACAGCTCTGGGACGGGGCCTGAGACTGCATGTCTAACCAACTGTCAGGGGATGCTGATATTGCTCCAAGGACTACAAACTGCATAAGAAGGGCCCAGGGGATCGTGTATAGAGTGATGTTTGGACAAGGTGTAAGTCCCCACAGCTCACCAGCGCCTGCAGTGGGGGGAGGAGGGGTCTGTGACGAGGAGGGGCTGCTATTGGTCTAAGTGAGAAGAGAGCATCCAGGAGAATGGTTGTCTGGGGCCTGTGGAGCACATCCCTGGTGGGCTTCCTTCCACTGACCTTGGCTTTGTGCTTTTGTGCCTTTGCTTTTACAAATTTGGAAGGGCCTTATCGTGCCCTGTGATTGAGCTAGGTATTTAAGCCTTGAGCTAGGTATTTAAGCGATCTGAGAATATAAGCAAGCTGGCAAAAGGCACCTGATGGAAAAGCCTGCCCTGGTGCAGAGTGGCTGCTATGCATTCTCTGCTCCCTGACGGGCATCTCAGGTCAAAGCCCAGCTCTTTCTTGTCCTCTTCTCCTCCAGGGATGCTAAGGAGGGGGACACCTCCACTCTTGGAGAGGCTTGGCTCTTTGCATCCTGACATGTGCATGTTTTCCATTTTATAGGAAGAAATGCGTCTTGGCTGAAGGCCCATGTTTTGTCCCAGTACATCCTTTTTACCAAAAGAGCCATCCCCGGAGCTGCCAAGAGTGTTTACGAGAAAGCCATCCAACAGTACGTTGGCTGTGGGAGCATGGCCTTACCGTAGATGTGGCCTTCCCCGTGCCATGAACCATCCATCAGACAGCCTGGCACATACTGTTGGTGTCTTTATTTTTACCCCCAAATGTAAAGCTGGATTCTTTCATCGTTTTTTTTTCTTTTTTCCAGCTGGGAAAACTCCTGTCAGTGGATGCAGTGTCCTTTCCAGATTCAATATTATGCAAACTGCATATTGGCAAATGGAGTAAACAAATATGTCCATGAAGTTTCTGGATGCACAGAGAGAGGGGCTTTACCAATACACAGGCATAGACCTGCTGATCTGCATGGGAATGACTGAGCGCCCTTGGCCAGCCCCATGGCCATCTCCACTGCCATCTCTCTCCTCTGCAACGTGTCTGAGCACCTGAGATAATGGGCCATTCTGCTGCCCAGCAGCAGAGGACAAGAGGCGGCACACAGATCTAGGGGCGGCTGTAGGTTAAATTGGAGCTGTCAATGGCTAGGTCTGGGGGTTCCTTTCAGGGAATGAGAGTGAAGTTGCCCCAACCAGTCCTGCACCTGCTCTAGGCCCGGCCCTCTCCCCTTCAGCCCCACCCACAACTATCAGGCTCCTCAATCACAGGCAAGGCTGTGGGCATGTGTGCTTTTCAGCTCTGTCTTCCCTGCCTGTTAGGTATGGACAGGAGGCATTACCCATACTGAGTCTTCCTGGTAGACAGAGTTTGGCCCAGTCTCCTTCTCATCACAGACTTCAATTTCCAGGCATAGGGAGAGTGAAAGTGTGTGTGTGATGGACCAAGGCTGGCTTTAGCCCTGCAGTTCTGCAAAGTGTAGGACACTTCTGCACTGTGCTGATCCTATTGCAATAACTCTGGGAGATTAAGTACTTTAAAAATTTTCACTTCTAAGCAGATGAGAAAACAGATTTAAAAGGATAAGAGTGGTGTTTTTGAAAGGTAGGCAGCAAATGATTGGCAAAGCTCGCATTTAGACCTGGGGCTGTCTTTTAACAAAAATCTCATACTTACTGTTTTTCAAAATGGTACCATGTTTCCCCAAACACCCCTGCATTCAGAAAACCAACCAACCAACCAGCCAACCAATCAACCAACCAAAAAGGGACATGGACATCTAAAAGGTCCATCTTCAAAGCCTGAAATGAAATGTTT